ATATATATATATACATATACATTAATACATAAATAAAAATATAGTACAGATGATGAATAGGTGACAGTAAAAGAAGAAACAAAAAGAAATAGTAATGGACTACAACGTGGAGAGATAATGGTTTTTCACGAGTGCTTTGAACCTAACAAGTGATTCTGCTTGTCTGACAGAAAGTGGCAGAGCATTCCACAGTCGAACAGCTCGTACTGTAAACGATCTGTCGAATGATCTGCTCGCATGCTGGGGCATCTCAAGCTTCATATCCTCCGACGACCGTACTGGTCTAGAATGTGTGTCATGGTAGAACTGGAAACGTTCTTTGAGATAGTGGGGGGTAGTAGGATTAAACAGTATACTGTAGAGTAAGGATAAGATATGAGTATCCCGGCGAAGGCGGATCGGCAGCCACTTGAGTTTAGCGCGATATTCGGAAATATGATCATATTTGCGTAAACCAAATATAAACCGTATACTAAAATTTTGGAGTCGCTCAAGTTTATCTAGCTGCACTTCGGTAAGATCTGGATAGCTGACGTCAGCATAATCGAGGATGGGAAGAAGAAGTGATTGAGTAAGCGCAATTTTAGTAGCAGTCGGAAGAAAGTTCCGAAGTCTACGCAAAGACTTCGCAGACGCAAACATTTTCCGACTTACTTGTTTCAGTTGAGGTTCCCAAGTGAAGTCTCGGTCCATGACAATACCCAAGTCTTTTACTGTGTCACTGTATGGGATTGTGGTACCATTAAAAATAATTGAAGGGATCTGCGACCATATAATTTTACAGCGTAAGCGGGGGCTACCGACAACAATGACCTAATTAATCCTAACCAATGATAATAATGTAGGTATTCCATATAAATCGGGCCTGCGGACGGCGAGCATGGGTGGCTTGCCGCCCGACCAGAACCAGCGTACGGTGCGTCGCGTTCCGCGCGCGCCTCAAAGAGCCGTCAGACCACCACGGGTGGGTCCCAATAGGGCTGATGACGATTCGGGGTCGCGGAGAACCTAACGGGTTATCGGGGCTCCGGCTCGGAGTGCAGGAGTAGGAACGGGGGGGTTTTTTAGTCAGTAAGAGTCTGACACTGCCTCCCGCCTCACGGAGGCGGGAAAAGTCATTCGATGATTTTCCCCACTTATAAAAAAATCCATATAAATATTTACCACCAACACTTCCAGTTTAAAAATAATGCTTTTAAGAAAAAAAGATTTTCTTATTATCTCAAAAAACCATTTCAATTCTTGTTTAATAATATTTTCAGCGTGAAATTTACAAAAGGTCCGGAGTCTGTCTTAAAATGACACTGAATTTCAGTAATTTGTTGAAATTGATTCGTTCATAACTTCCACAATGGAGTCTGGATGCCTGGCGTTTTAAATAACGATGTGATCACAAAGAACATCTAAGGTTATGAAGACTAAGAAAATCAGGTGAAGGCATCTATCGATCTGTCTACGGAGTATTTTTTGTAGGTGTATTCTGTACCTAGATTTTTAATCATATGTATTGTTTAATCTTGGATCTTGCCTGTAATTGGACCATTTAGAAAACTTTAGACATAATAATAATTATGCCTCATTGGCCGAGTGGTCGCAAGTGCGACTGCCGGACAAGGGGTCTCGGGTCGATTCCCGGGTCGGGCAAAATTTACTGGATTTAAAAAAAAAAAATCTTAGTAATAGCACGGAGTCTGGAATTGTATCCGGTATGGCAATAGGCTCACCCCCTATTTTCAGTAATTATTTTTATAAAGCTTTTCAATATTTTTATACTGATAAAAACTAGCCAAGTCAAATCTAACCTACTTTAAGATCTCACATTTTTAGATAACAGCAATTATTATAGGTATCCAATAAAGCAAAGAAATATAGTTTGATTCTCGTTCATAACGTTATTTTGTTTTTTAGTTTATTTTTAGTTTTATGTGTTTACGTTAAATAGTTTTTGAGTTATAGAGGGGTCAAAAGTGGCACGAAGTGGTTCGTGTAAAGATACACTGTGGCGCGCGCTGTTTGCTGAACTTGGCTGACGCGCGGCCACGCGTCTCGATATGTCACATAGGCTACTTTTTATCCTTTTGTGACGCGAGCGAAGCTGCGGGTAAAAGCTAGTAGTGATAATAATAGAAATTGCAATTTGACAAAGACTTCCCGATTTTGCGATATTGCAAGTTTAGTGCACCAGGAAAGTATTTCTGATTTCTAATATCAAACTCCGAAGCGAAGTTTCCGTGTTTTATGTTCAAATACTTAACATTTAACGGTTTTACCACTGAAAAAGGTTGTTCGGTCTGTCATAAAGTTGGGTAACTCACAGCAGCCGATATTGAAGCAGTCGTTAAATATTATGTGCACAATAAACTGGCTCGGAGTGGTCTTGAGAGCACTGGAGCAATGAGGGTCTTAGCCTAGTGTCGTGAGAGCTATGAGTGTCTTAGGTAGCGTCAGGAGTCTCTAATTACGATTAGAGTATCTCAAGTAGTCTACAGAAATCATCAGAATTGGCTTCTATGAGGAGTCTTCAAGTCTCGAGTGAAGGTTTGCTTATGGGCAGGTGTGCTCCATCGTAGGCCGCTTCGGAGCCGCGGAGGACTTAACGGTTTACCAGGGCTCCAGTTCGAAATGCAGAAGTAGGAATGGGGTGGTTTTTAGTCAGTATGAGTGTGAGACTCACTCTCGCCTCACCTGGGCGGGAGAAGTCATTAGATGATCCTCCTCCCTCAAAAAAAAAAAGTCGAAAGTAGCTTTGTTGCTTACCATCAGGTGATAGATAGAGGACAAACGCTGAGAAATTACCAATAAAATTTTCTATTTAGTGTCACAAGTATGTATGTAGGTAAGTAACACTTAATTAAGCAACTTTTTGTTTTTTGTAAACCTCCTTGTGTCCTATTGTCTTACAATAAATAAAAAAAGTTTATATTTTCATAGATATATTTATTTTCAATTCAATATCAGTGTTGACTATCATTAGGAATGCGGTGTACATAGTTATTATATTAAAATATATTTCCAAAGCTATCGTCCATTTTACAGCGGGAAGTGATATGTAGATTGTATACAGGGTGGTCGCTTATTGGGAAAATGTTGATACAGTATGTAAACAGTTATATATATGGGTCATCTGATCAAAATACAGCATGTGGCATGTGTTTCTGTATTCTAGGTAGCATTAGAGAAATTAAAAAAAAATCGCTTCGAAATTCCTAAACATCCTAGTCTGGATTAGAGTCCTATTTATGTGTGAATAATGACAATAATGTTAACATTGATAACATCAATAAGTGCTTAGTCGATTGAAACAGATTATTTCTTGATTAGGTACTGAAGATTTTTAAAATAGTATTCGTATACAGTTTTAACTACATTTAGATATCGATATATATTCTAACAACAATGATAATATGTACCAAACATAATATTACTCTCATCTATATATAAATACGATAAAGCTGTCGAGTTTTTACATGCCAACATTAAGCTATAAGTCAAATTTTAAAAAAATCCTTCATAAGATCATCATCATCACACGGAGAAGGTTTGAGCATTAATCACTACGCTTGCTCAATGCGAGTTGGCGATTTCAAACTTATATTTAGAAATTATAAGTTTGAGTTTCCTTACGATGTTTTCCGAAGTTTGTCAGTGGTGTCTAAATAATCATAGAAAGTATATATAACTCGGAAAAAGCCACATTGGTACTTGTCGTTGGTAGGTTTCTAAAAGGTCCACCACGACTATAAGACACCAGTAAGAAATATACATAGATATGTAATTAAATATCAGTCATATC